GCCCCGCCCCGCCCCGCCTATGCAGCCCCCACGCCGCATTTCCCGATCCGTCCGGTCCTTCCTTTCATGTTTGCTATGAACATCGTTGCAATGGCGAGCGACCGCTCGCCGAATCCCGCGTGGTGTGGATGAGTCGCTTGGTATTTGCCGAGCGACGAACATTCGGTGCTCGCCATACCCATCGCGTGTCGGTCTTTTGCACTCATGAAAAGGAAGCGAACATGCGCCCAACAAGTCAGCTGCTCGGGATTGAGCGAGCAGACGCTCTCAACTCAGCGAATGCCGAATGTGTGGAGCCGCCTTTAGATATATATCTTATACTCCTGTCAAACTGCCTGCAAGACTATATCACCCGTTCACGGAAGAAAATTTTGGAAAAAAAACTGTTGGTGCTTTCACACACCGTAATGCAAATATATAATCTAAATTTCTCGCTCCTAGGTTCAGATGAATTGGATTTGCGTTGATATATTAGTCTGTTAGTTTCTTCTTTTAGAAGACTGGCCAACAGGTGGTTTGACTCCACGCATTCAAACCTTATGTTCGCTTAGAGGAAATCTACTTCTCTGGCTCAGAGCAATGGCCTCTGGGGCTTTCTGCACTATTTAGGTCGCCAGGGAACACCAAACAAGTCCCTGGTGTACTTTGTTGGGTCTCTACCGCCCCGAACCGATGCCCCTCTAATCAGCATGTGCGGAGCGTGGCGTAGCGCACCCATACCAAAGGTGCGGCTGCGACTACATGACTTGCATGAGGGTTACGTGAAGGAATTGGTAAAGGATAGGAAAGTGGATCCGGGGCGCAGACTTTGCTAGCAGCGTCTATCTAGGAACGCTGGTCAGCGTCAATTGTATTTCGGTGTTTTGACGAGATAGGTCTCTTAGAAATACTGCGTTCGATAAGGAGATCTTTAAGCCTCAAGTTTCTCCATTTTCCTTGATTTTGAAATGATACAAACACTATATAGGAAAGGAAACACCCTGTCACTGGAAGCAACCCAGATGCTTTGGGAGCCTTTGCTACCACTTATTTAATTTGTATATAATACGTTGTGAGAAAGACTACTTATGTACCAAGAATATAATTCAACAATAGATTTTCAAACAAAGACTTGGTTTTGAACTACTCGAAACCGAAGTTCTGATTCTTGAACTTCTATCTTTCCTCGCAATTTTGATCGCATTCCATTGCATGTGCAGCCGTTGCCCATTGGAATAAATGTACTGCTGTGCGACTCAAAGTGACATCTCATTAAACACTGCAAAATATTATAGTTTGTTAAACAAAATATGACAGCTGGTCAAGTCAAATGTTTTTATCCTCAAACGTGTTGATGGGGTGGAGGGAACACATAATAGAACGAATCAATCGTAATAGGCAAAATACTTCGGGCCCCTTGCTATTCGACTTATCGGGGTTTTACCGTAATAGCTTTTAATATGTTTAACTTTATAGATAGCGAAAAAGATTCAACTCGTCAATTATAATTTGACATGCTCATGTCAAACTGGGTGAATGTGATTCTCTTCGCGACGATGTTGCTGTTCCCGATCAATTGCTGCTGTCGATCAGAAAAGTTTATTGATGTAAAGCAACCCTTGTGTACCAGCTTCTGAAAGCTCTATAATGTCGCCGACGTCCCCTGTTGGAGCTGCGGAACAAAGCCCTGCCGAAGCGCCCCGCAGAAACATTGCACAGCGGTCTGAAACGATTGACGCACTCTCAACGGGCGGTAGTTCAAGCCTCAAGTAGGTTAAGCGGGAAATTTTTGAATTAATACAGCGTGAGATTTGCAAGTAACGTGACTGACATTGAATTTAATTTCAATTTTTAACCTTTAATTATTCATTATTAATTTATTATTTTTATTTACAAACATTAGTCAGTGGTAGGAAGTAGGTGGCTGGTAGAAAGCTACGCAGTACCGCCGACAGATGGCGCTGAAAGCTGTAGGCAGTGCCAGCGTGAGGCATGGGCCAGCAATTCAAGGGACCCCACAAGTAAGAGGTTCGATGATAGGACTGATGGGGAAAAATTAGTAAAAAAATTGAAAAAGAAATTAGAATTTGTGAAAATCATTATCGTAATTTTATAAGTCGCGATACAACACTCTAATATTTCATAAAATTTTCAATTATTTTTTTACCTTAAATAGTTCATTGTAGTCATTACTTACAAGGTAGGACTCTGTGATTTCCACTACGCGGCCCCGGGTTTGATTCCAATCGAGCCAAGACTATAGTGTGCGTTTTCCTTTCAATGACCCAGAATATGTTGCTGTGTGACTAAGAGACAATTCACTTCTCAGGTCGAGAATATCAGAATATGGCGTGGGGATGTGCTAACCACACGTACCCCCTTAACCCATGGCCGCGAGGCAGGAACGTCGCCGGTAGGCCTGAACCCGTCATATACATACATGCATACAGGACTCAGTAAAGTGAAACAAACGATGCCAACAGTAAAATAGGTTCTACTGAAATTGATATTTGTTATTTCATCTATTTAACAAGTGATTTTATTAAACACAAACTGTGCACATTTTTTGGCGTTTTAAGCTCACCGTGGAAATTGTTTTATTTGATCGCTAAATATTTTTACTTAACACTATTGTTTAAAATATATTTCCAAACAATTTTTCTATCTTAAACGTAATTTTTGTTATTTATTGAAATAAAATTACATATAGTACATTTTTATAATTTCGAGTGGTGTGGGGTACGTTTCGGGATTGCCGTGGGCGCAGAATTGTCTGACTCCGACCCTGGCTGTAGGTACACAGTATTTCTATAGGCGCAGTTTAAAGCGCGTGAGTGGCGTGAAGTATGGAAGCTCTGGTCGAGGGCGAGAAAGCAGATGGTCGCCTGAATGTCCTTGCTCATCCGCTCCCCTCTTTACGCGTTGTATGCATCACGACCCGACTAGATTTTAAATTACTTCTGCGCTGCAAGTGATAGTACGCTGACCACGTCACATACTAAATCTTCCCCATGCGTCACTTAGTTTCGTTTTTTAGCGTTTAATAGGTTAATAAATAAGTCAAACCGTTTAATCCCGACACAGGAAGCGTCCCGGGATGAAAATTACCAAGTTCTGAATTGCTGCTCGAAGTCTAAATCATGTTTTCGTAATATTCTGGGAACTTAGTTTCCTTGTAGTCACAGTGTCATTTTCCAACTTTAAGCTTTTATTATGGATTTAAAATGACAACCTACGTAAGAAAATTACGAGAATAAGTCGTGGGCATCGGACTTTTTTGTACAAAATTAATATCTTTTAAAAAAACGTGTCGGCAAGAGTCAAGACTATGACATGGAACCAATATACGTTGTGCTACTCGCTTTGTAAGCTATTCCTGTATATGAGTAAGAGTTTGTGCCTGAAGATCCGGCATAACAATGCTGAGCCGACTTTCCAGTCTCATTTCAAGGTGTTGCACCAGATTTGCTTTTGACCCAGGGAGAGGATGCAACCCGCATCGCACTGCTTTCCAGTGTGAAAGATTTAACTTCAGCACGTATGTGGGAATACGATTTGCTCTTGCTTGTAGAGTAATATCGTCGAATTCGAAGCTCCTTCTTCATTCTTTCATTCAGTGATTTGCAATGCGAAAAATTACAATCGTAACTTCAAAGGAATGTACAAAGATTGTAAGAGTCTGAAACTTTACTTAATATATACAAGATAAATTATTTTGCTTTTTTGGACTTTTTTTTGCAAATTGAGTCTTCCTTCTCATAGAAAATATAACACCTTACAGAAAATAATTGAATAAGACTATTCTGAAACTAGGAATATTTACATTCCGCGAGTTCTGTTTACTAACATATTTTACCAAATGCTTATTGACAATTGTGTATTTATCTTTCTTGTGATAAAATAGAGACTGTTTTGAAGAAATGTCGAAACGTGAAATAATTCCAGGAAACTCTCTTTTACAATATGATTAAGTTTGTAGATGAGGAAAAATATGTCAAACGCATACCATGATTTGACCTTTATTTCGTTTTAAAAAACTCACACGTTTGTGAAGAAATTTATTTTTCTAATAAGTTTTGATACGTCTTCAACTTATTCTATTACAATGTTCATTGACCTTTTTTTATTCTTTCAGAGTGCCTCCTGGCTTCCCAGACCATAGGACGTGCCTTCTGAATCAGAAGCTCCAAATGCTGAACTGCTGCATTGAAAGGAGATTGAATCGAGAGACGTTGGCCCGAAAAACATCGGTGGAACTAGAAAAACTCTCTTCAGGTTTGTAACTTTATTTCTCCGTATTTACTATGACCATGACCATGAACTTACCATTCACCCTGGCTCATGGGTGACAAAATGCAAACATATTTTATCGTCGCAACTGAAAAAATCATTCAAGATCATGTAGTTGCGTTTTAACGTTGTCTCTGTGTAAAGAGTTTACCAGCAAATGTGTTCAGGACAGAAGAGAAGCTGTACTTTGATTCCAAAGGCACATCTCTAAACCAAAAGTATTCTTAAAAGTGTAATATTGCATTGAACCATATTGCAATTCTTGTTTAGAAAGCGACTTTTGCTCTCATGAAATATGAACCGGTAAGATATGAGAATTTTGTGTTATCAAATCTAGGTTTAATTATCCGCGTACTGTAATTTTTAGGAATTTTCCGCTTCCATTTTGTCGCTAGGATATGCACTATCATTTCCGTTACTTTATTTTTTGTAATACTGAATATTTAATGTAGGTATTGAGTCAGGAAATTTAATGCATAAATTAATCCAGAATTATATTTTTAATATTAATTCAGATATAGAAGTATTGTTGTTTTCTTTTGTTTTTTATATCCTATATAGCCAAATAGGGTCAACGATATTTCGGCTACTTTCTTACTTTGTGAAATTGTTTGCCCTAAATTCTCACATTTGCTTACTGTGGACTTCTTTCGTTCAGTCAGTCCGCTTTTTGCCCCTTTTCAGTGTGTCTTTTCCTGGAAGCTCCGGTGTGTTGTGCATTAAGTGACAAGTTCTCGAATGTCTTTTTATGTGAATCCTATTTCCCGCAGGTGTTTCCCGGATCAGTGTGCCATGCAAAAGTACGTATCGTTTTGTCAATTTTTTGTATAAATTCTGTTTTTTTATTAGATTAAATAATGATAAATCCTTTAAAAAATTACTCGTACAAAGTGACGGTGTTTTAAGCTTGTTGTGGTATACTTAATTTTAAAAGTAGGATCACTTTGCGGCTGAACCATCTCTTCATTAACCATGGCTTGGCAAGATTTCAAATTATTGTTTTTATTGGCGGAACACCGAGCAACTCTATCAATAGTCTTCCTAAAACTGAAAAAAGAAAGAAAATTGTTGTTTACGTACCTAGTTCAGAGAGTGAGTCGTTGGTGTACGAATGAAATGGCGAAGGAGGCGACGATCGCAGCCGAGCCCGGCATTTTGAAATGAGTGCGCCAAGACACATTCGTGCACGTTGCTTACGTTCTTTTTAGTAGGAGTAGTATTGGAAACTTACCAATGTAGACTTTTGGGATCATTGTAAATATGTAAGGCGGTAGCCACTATGTTTTTTGTTGTTGTTTTTTTGCCGTAATTTTCTTGCCTTTTTCCGGTACGCGTACGACAAAGTCTATTGCTGCAGTTTGCAATCAATAAACATTGAAGATACTAGTTTCCATGCGTTAGTGCTGAATAAATAAAGATGTCTGCAGAAAAATTGGCATCGAATTCCACGCGACACGGAGGCAATTGGAAACGTGCTTTCAGATTCGGACGACGAGGACGAGTTCTTCGACTGCTCCGCAGAGCCGTCCGGCGGCGAGGGCGGCGGCGGCGGCGGCGAGGAGGCGGCGGCGGGGGCGGGCCCCAGCCGCCCCGGGGGCGGCGCGCGCCGGAAGCAGAAGCACTCGCTGTGGAACCAGCCCGTGGGCCGCCTCTACAAGTACGGCAACCTGCGCCTGCTCAAGACGGGCGAGCACCTCTACGTCCCCGTCACGCAGGTACCACTCGCGCCGCCGCGAGCAGCGAGCTCCACGAAGAGCCCGGCCGGCGAATCGGGTGCGAAGGACATGGGGAGGAACGTAACTTTTACTCCGGGGATGTCGTTAAGAGACACTCTAAAGTTCCCCGACCTACGAGGGTGGGTGGCATGCAGTTCTCCTTTTATCTCGAAAATGTTTCATCGCAGCGAAAAGGTTCTTTTATTTGAAATGAAAGCTGACAAATTTCCCTAAAAGATTGATCCTATTAACTTTTTTTTTCCACTTCTAATTGTTGGTGAAGAACAACCCGCTATCAAAAATGGCAGATTTTCGAAAAAAAGGTTGTTTGCATCTCGCTTTTCGACGAACTATGTCTTCTAGCGCCGCCTACCTATTCCAAACACCTTCCTGAAATTAAAAATTCTGTAGAAAGCGGAAGCTTCTGCGGTCGGAGTCAGTACCTTTATCTTCTGCCGAAATAGTTGGCATCTGTGCGCGACGGCTCCCGCACAGTCATGTACACAAAATTATTTCTCGACAGTGTCCTCCACAACCTTTTGAGCTGGACTAAAAGAACTCGCGTCTGTTTTCGCAGCCAGGCGTTCCTTCCGAGTGAAGGTGTAATTAAAGTCCCGTGATTCCCTGTATCTGAGAGTTTGAGACTACACCAACCAGGCCCGTCTGATAATGAGGGTATGGTAGCTATACCCACATGAAAAATGTCCACTTGGGATTTTGGATGAGAGAAATATTCTTTAAGCGTCAAATTCCAGAAATGAACGGAATTTCTCGGTATTACGTTGACTTAAAAAGTATATGCAACTATGTTGCTAAATCGGCGTAAGATAATTGCCATTTTACATGATTATAGCAAAATGACTGAAAAAATATATTTGCAAATATTGTTAAATGAGTTTATATCAAAAAATGCAAAGTGAAACAATCTTTAAGTTACATAAAGTAAATGTGATAACAGTTTGATGACATTTTAATGATAAACGACAATTTGAAAAATCCCGTTTCGTATTTTCCCTGTCAAGTACATTTTCCGTGGGAGATGAAGGGGGGAGGGAGGACCCCCACCCAGGACAACTAGACTTACCCCAATCGCTGGCCCTGACACCAGCAATGGTGAATGCATCAAAGGTGCTGATGATGCTTCCACTTTTACTCTCAGAAAATGTACTCCTTGAACTACAAGTTTACGTATAATGACCTGGTGCCATTTTACATACAGAAGGTAGAGGTAAGGAAGCAATTTCTGAAGATCTTCTGCCTTACCATCAGAGCATCCATGGCTCCTTGAAAAATTGGGCAATATAAAATTACTAACTGATGTTCCTGCCATTGATAGGAGTCATGGATGTTGGGGTACAATTGATGTTGGATAAAATAGCCTGTATATCTCTTTTAAAAGTTCTGAAGAATTTTACTCTTTTCTAATAGTATTGCTTAAACACCAGGTGAAGAACAGACTCTAGTATTTAATGTTATCAAAGTTTTGCTCTGTACAATATCAAAAACACCTTGCTATTATGTTAAATTAATCTCCTAATTGTTACTGTGAAGATGTCAAATTTATTATAATGAATCATTAGCAAAAATAGATTCCGTCTGAATGTGGAGTGTTTTACACTTTGATGCATTTGGTGTTTTCCATTCCTTTTTCAATGTCTATAGTATGTGGCTTTGATATTTATTTATAACTTGATATGACATGGTATTTATCTGTGTCTTGTAATATTATCTTCATGTCAAACTCTATGACTTGCTTGTGAACAATGTAACAATGTTGAGAAATATGGAGAAGATTAATATTTTGGTAAATGCATCTAGCTTAAAAAGAGAAAAAGGGAGAGAGAGCAAGTCTCTTATCTGCTGGATTCTGCTAATATAATTACCTTTTCCCAAAAGTTTTTCTAAAAATCATTGAAATCTTGTTAAATTTTGACTCAGTAGGATGATATAATACAATACATCACATTACAATATGTTACATTTCAGAAGTTCCTTTTCAGTAAAAATCTTATGGTATACTTACTAAAGCATACTTACAATGGTTACAAGCTTTAAAGTTAGTTATAAATATAAAAGAAAATGAAAATGACTGTTACAATACTGCATACTTTTCACGGATCTGCTCTTTTAATGTTTATAAATCTGTTACAATGTGTAGGATCCATCTCCCAAAACTGAAGATCAAATTCTGGAAGATGTTGATGTAATGGTTCATTTAGGAACTGATGCACATGCAGCAGAATTGCGTGCGCGTATTATGAGTGCTTCTCTCCTTTCGGACATGGAATCATTCAAGGTATTTTATTTTAATAGTATGTTTGCTTGAATTATGTTAAAAAATAATGCTTGTGCTCTTTCTTAAAGCTCAATGATCTTCCTTATTAATAAACAGGCAGCAAATCCAGGAGCTATCCTGGAAGATTTCATTCGATGGTATTCTCCCCGAGATTGGATAGAAGAAGAAGGCATTGATGAATATGGCCAAAAAAAAGGTAATACTTGCTACTTAAAATATTGATAGTCTTGACACCATCTTCATATTTTCATGTTATTATAAAGGAACTAAGAAGTCAGTGCATGACATTGAACAATTTCACTAGTTTTAAGTTGCTTGTTGTTAGAGGTTAAGGAAAGAATTGAAAACTTTTGCGATGAAGTCATTTCTTTTTCTTATTTTCTTTCTTCTTTTATTTTACATTTGAAAAAATAGGATATTGAATTTAACTTTGGAATCCATCAACCATTTGCAACAAAACTGTCAAAATATGTATATTGTTAAATACAAGTGAGGTGATATTTTTCTTCATAAAACACGTGGTCATTTTCTTTTTGTGTAAGGGTAGAACTAACACTGTTGCCATTGGTGTGCTGTGTGTTGTTACTTTTCTACTGTCCTCTTGTATCTTTTTCCTCGTACTCCATAATTGGTTTTGTACATATGAATTTGAACATAACCACATGTTCAAAATGTGTCAACAATTTTCAAATGCTCTGAGCATTTTCAATTAAGTTTCACAAAAGTGCTTCAAAAATATAGGAAACAGTTCTTCATAAAAGTCTAACTGCTGGTCAGCATTATTACCCAAATTGCTTTACTAGACTCCATGAAGTCACGAAAGTTAAGTGTGTGTGTGTGTATGTGTGTTTTAATTCTTTGTTTTCAAAATCCATTACAATATCCTATGTCTGTAATCTTCCTTATGGACTTTTATCGTTTTGAAAAAAACTTTGATTTACATTCATATCAGTAGTGCACAGTAAAGTGTTGCAATTCAAAAATTATTATTTAGTCGTGAAGAAATATGTTTAGAAAATTGATGATTTTTACCATAAAAGTTTCATAAAGAAAGTTCACAAGAAAGTTGAAATAAAGAGTGAAATATTTTGTCTTGAGCTGTGAAATCAACAGTTCAACTAAGAATAAAACCATACTCCTGCAAGTTGACTATTTTTTTAGATTAGCTATTCTTGTTCACTGGTGATACATAAAACTAGTGAAATAATATTAATATTGAAGTTTTTCTTCTTTTCATGGTTGTTGATTTGCTGGTTTACCTTTGTTTCATTGTAATTCAATATAAAATTGGTTAGGAAATCTTACCATATATTATCAATAAGGAAGATGTGACAGCAGTAATGAAGTAGCAGTACATTGCAGAAATAATTAATAAGTTAAAATTATGGATTGTGGAATTCTGTATAATATTATTACAGGGAAAAAGAAAGAGGAATCAAATTTGCTCTGCCAATTCACAACAATGTAATGTAACTAGGCAGAGAATCTGGAAGAAACAACATTTAATATGTTTACGCAAATTTTTACGTGTAGAGTATATACTGGAATATTTAAATACATTTGTATGTTTTAACTTTTTTTTCTGTAAAATGAGAAATACTAGATTGCATTTGGGTTTGTGTCTTTTGTGTTTGAATTGCTTGGTATATTTCATCAGACTCTCTGTCAGTGTCTCTGCATGACTGATCTATAGTACTGTCAATTTAGATTTTATCAGCAAAAAATATTCCCATGGAGTTGACATTATGCATTCTTGATTCTGACAGTTACAGCATGTTTTTTTTGGTCATCAACAGAGGTAAAAGTCAGAAATGTTTCTGTTCATTGAGTTCATTGTTCACAGGTTCATTGAGTCCTCGTATGCAAATCCGTGGCAACGTATGGGTTGATGTTTGGGAAGCTGCAAAGCCTGTTCCAGCCCGACGGCAGAAGCGTCTCTTTGATGATACACGAGAGGCTGAGAAGGTTTTACATTTCCTGAAGACTCAGAGCCCTGCACAGATGGCACAGTTGTTGCTTCCTACACTTCTTCATGCATGTATTGTGCGGCTGATGGAAGAAGAACGAGCAGAACTTCCGGATGTTATGCCAACCATTCAACATATTGTCAAGCAAGCTGTGCGTCTTGCACAACAAGGAAATACTGCTCAGGATCTTCCACGCTATGAGGTAAGTCTTAAGAATGTGTTCATGAACCACTCATTGACTTAAGACTGGTTCTATCCTTAGTTAAGTTTCAAATAATATTAATATTTTGGTGAATGTGAATGAATTTTCTATATCATCACTTTGCATAGGAACTGTAATTCTAAGCTGTTTACAATCTATCTGATTATAAGTCTTCAAATTGATTTTAAGTGTTTTGTGAGAGAATAGTTCTAGTTTATAATATATTATTATAATTGATAAAACCAACGTCTAGCCCTTTTTTGTTATTGGATTAAAGCAATTAAGAATATATTTTCTCTTCTAAATAATTTTTTTTTCACCTTTTATTTGGAATAAGTATCCCTTCATTCTCTATGTTTTAAATTGACAATATTTAATCAAGGAATATGCTAATACTGTTAAATCATATGTAGCTGTTACCATAATTGTTATCATGTACTGTTGTTATTATTATTATTATTATTATTATTATTATTATTATTATTATTATTATTATTATTATTATTAATTACAGAATTCAGAATAGTTGGCCAACCTTCATCTTATTTATTTAATGTAGAATGTACTAGTTTGTGGCAATTTTTTTTTTTAAATCTTGTTCTCTGGTACTAGTTTCATCACACTATTGCCATGCCTTGGGATCCCAGCCTGACGACCATGTGCTCAGGTACCTGTGGTAAGCAGGTCACAACTCCTTGTGCCATTTATATGGCATTCTCTACCTGCAAGACACTGAAAAAGGACCTTTTAATTTTTGCACTCCTCCAAGGATTGAACCCGGCCTAAAAAACTTGCTCTTTCTAGATTAGATAGATAGATTCGATAGAAAACTTTCTCTTACTAGATTTAATTCCTAGTATCAAAAAAAATATATGATGATCATTATATGAAACTACAAAGTTGGAATATTTGTCATCTAATTATTGTCTGAAATTGCAATCCTTTTATCCAACCGTCCAACCATTCTGAATGGTTTGTGTCCAGTAGATACATAGAGAGGGTACACAAGAATTATAGTTCAAAATAAAAATTAGCACTGGTGGATGAAAAATTAATATCTACTTCTAACAAAACGTTAATGTAGAAAATGAGTTATCTTGGAGCAAAACTATATTTTCCTTTCTGCATAAGGGGCCAGTCTAGGGTAAGACTTCCTTTTGAAGTCCTCATTCACCACTGTGAACATTCAAAACTGGGCCATATTTAAGTTAGTAATAGATAATAAAAATAATTTGGAATTTTTTTCAGTTATTGAATATTAGTTAATTGTAAATTTTGATGACTGCATATTACATGAGCTGTTTACATTTCTAGGATCTGAGCAAAGAAATGACATCTGTAGAAGAAGTAATAGCGCAGTTTAAATCTTTGGAACACAAATTCTCACCCTCGGGTGGTGAACAGTCTCCTGAGCTTCAAGCATTTTTAAGCCATTTAATGCAAAACACTCAAGTGGATGTACCAGAGGGACCAAGAGGTCCAATTGGAATGAAGATTCGTTGTATGTTTGCTGAAGCTCAAAAGGTAACAGACTGTAAACAATTATTATTCTTTGAGACTGTAAGTAAGCCACTAAAAGAATTTAAAAAAAAAGGCAGCCAGAGAGGCATTCAAAAACATTGAAAGTTGGCTCTAATAGGGCCCCTCTAAAAAATGTTATTGATGATTTCTAGCTATATACATTCATTATACAGCAACCCTGACCCATCAATGACACAATATTTGTGAATATTTCATCATCATCATCATCATCATCATCATGAACTGATCAGAAATTAGTCTCTACAGACTGTTTCTATTGGTTTATTACAGTATTCTTGGTGTATTATTAGTCTTCCACATGTTCCTGTTGTTGCCACCTCGTTAGTGGTCTCCCTCTATCTCTGACCCTCATTAGATTGTACTTCCAGATTAATTTTGGAAATCTGGTGTTGTTCATTCTCTGTAAATGATCTTTCCATCTCCTTTGAGACTGTTCTATCTCTTCTACAAAACATTCGGTTTTCAATTTCTTTCTGATGACCTTATATAGTTTGTTCTTGTTATTCCCATGAGGTGTTTAAGAAATCTCATGTCGCCTGTAGTTTTCATTTGTCTCTCTCTTTCATTACCCATATTTCTGAGCCATTCATGATTTTAGATTTAGCAGCTATATTGTGTAATTTCAGTTTTTTTTCCAGGTCCATCACTCTTGATTGTTCCATATATTCTATTGTAGCTGTTAAGTTTGTTTTCTATGTCTTTCTGAGTTTGCTTTTATACACTTATGATATTTTCAAGGTATGAAAATTTATTTACTTGTTCCACTAATTTTCCATTTATTGCGAATATTTATTCATGTAGAGTTAAATCCAAAGGGGTGATAAAAGAAATATTAACCATTGATGGTGCCAACGCAGTCAGTTGCTATGCATATAACTGTATGTAAAGAATCACTAAAAACATCCAAATTTCACAATAATATACATATCAAAATATTAGTTACTCTCATATTTTTATATAAAGTACAGTATTAGATGTATGTGGCAAATAAAAATGATATCTAAAAGAGAAATGAGGCAGTAACAAATTTGAGACAGAGTAGAATCATTTATCAAGATTTTGACTCTTTTAAAAATCATAATTATTTGATTTTCATCTCGTCTTCATTTCAAGCTCTGCAAATCAAATATCATTAACAAATAATTATTGTCAATACCTCTATGCAGAAAAACACAAGTACATTTTAATTCAAGGTACTTAGTAAATCAATGCAATGACAAGATTCAAGCTTACCTGTTGTGTGTCACACTGCTGGAGCGAGGTAATTAATACAGGATCTGTATTTGATGAGACTTCACAGCAAATATTTGTACAAGTTAAATTTAATAATCAAGAATTACTATGTAAAACTCCATTATACTGTGACAGACTAAAGTCGACTCCAGTTATAGTGAATTTCTGGGGACTTACTTTTTGATCTACTCTATCCAACGATAAGAAAATAAAATAGAATTTCTCCATAGTGATTGATTTTATTAATATAGAGATACGTCAAAATACGTTAACAGCATGAACTAAAAATTTTAATATCTTTATTTGTCCTTAAAAAATCAATTATTTTCAATTGTTTACTTCATACATTTTTCATTAGTAATTTCTCCAGATTCTTCTCAGAGTTCATGCTGTCCCCATACTTGATTCTGTATTTTCCACTGTCTCTAAGTATTGTAATGCAGTCTTGACACCCTTCAACACTTCTCACTGTTGTAACCCCGTCCCTCTCTCTGAAGGCCCTTTAACTCGCCTAATAATATACGAGATCCTTTCAGTAGCAGCATGGCACTAGTAGCTAATGAAACTGATCACATTTTGGCATGAGGGTATTGCCATGCTGTGTGGCAGTTACAAGCTTCCTGTCTCTTACATAGATCACAACATGCTTTGACACGCGGAATATAACACCAAGCTTGAAACTGAAACAAGCAATCGCGCATCGCCACCACCAGTTGTGGCCCATGCCAGACAAGACCTTTCTTTCCCCAGCGAAAGTGAGCGGCATAAGGATGTCAGTAAGGTTCCCATTCCTGGTCCACTGGCTTCATCTCAGGGAAGACTTCTTCGATTGTGACCTTTCACTGACAATATTTTTTTCAAGCTCAAGAATGTATGGCACTGAGTCGATATATTCTTTTTTGTGAGGGACATTATTTCCAGGAAGTGGTATTTCCTATGTTCCCCATAGCCAAGATTCAGGTTCACTATAACAGAATCGACTTATGCTTATTTGTAATGTAAGTAAAACGGGACCAGTGACCTAAGTTCATTATAACTAAGGAGTCACTATATCTGAGATTACTATAACTGGAATCAACTGTAAAGAAATTAAACAAATTTTAAACAAGCTACATTTTAGGATCCCTCATAGAGCTATGCTAAACCAAAATTAGGTAATAGAAAATTAACAATCTTAATATGATCTTCGTAGTTCTCTATATTATTTTAATTCAGAGATAAGAGATCTAATTGAGTCCAAACTTGAATTGGGTGGATTATAAACAGAAATAATAATTAGATGGTAGTTACCAAATTTAACATCAAGACCTATGAGATCATTAGGTTCATTCAAATGTTCAAAGTCAGAAAAAATTAACGTAGAAGATTTATAATTTCTGACTATCACTATCAGCACTATCTTACATATTTTCTCCATCTTTCTGCACAACATCAAAAATATTAGTATCAATATATTTGATGAACAAAATGCTACAAAATTATATAAATCTATGAATCATGCTTAATTTATTAAGGACATTGTATTAAAACACACATTTGACCTAAATATTTTTTTTATTATTTATATAACTGGTCAAACTAAAAATGAAACAATACTCTATACCAAGGGCACACAGAAGGAGGAACAGCTAGGGCACTTGGTTTCAGGACCCAAATGATGGCCAAAATTTTTTCATTTAAAATGAGAAGGAAAAAGTATTTTCTTCTAATTCAAATTAAGCTAAAAGTTAGTCCTGTTGCATGGAGAACTAAATTCTGTTTATGTAGTGAGAAGAGGAAAAGGTGACTTTTGTTTCGAGTGGTCCCCATGGATCTACAGCATCTGGCCTCTTGTTTCCTTTGGGCACCCTGTCTTCATACGAACACTTCAGACTGAAATTACATCACTGTTGCATTTATAACTGCAATAATTTGCACTGTTGCATCACTGTTGCACAATAAACATCTGCATTTATTAAGGAATAGAAATTAATTGTATATAAACAGGTCTTTCTTCAAATTTATCATTTTAAAGTTGTGTCCTGACAGGAAATTTTTTTTTAATTGAAAAATATCTTTGGATATAAATTGTTATTATTTGACAATGTTTAAATAGTCCTCAAATATTTAGTTCAGCATGAATTAAAATGTTGTTTCAACCTGTACAAATCATCCCTTTAGTTCTTAAGCTGCTCAAAGTCTAGATAATCAACAATTACCCTCTTGCATGGCAGGGTGACTTACAATTTGGCCTGGAACAATTGGGACAAATGAACTTTCATAACGTTGGTTTTTCATTCAACATGATTTTTCTTAATATTACACCCAATGCTAAGAAAAAAAGCCAGAAAGCCATAACTGGAAGTGATACCAATGAGGTATCCTTAAATACATAGATACACTTGACCTTTCGCAATACACTGCTATTCCTTCAGATACCAAAGACTTTACTCTATTACACCAAAAAAAAAAAAAAAAAAAAAAAAAAAAAAAAAAAAAAAAAAAAAAAAAAAAAAAAAAAAAAACAACACCCTAATGAATATCATAATTATTTAGTTGTTGAAAAAGTATTGTATTCTATGGATGAAGTTGTTTTGTAGCATGGTCAGGATTGATTGACACATTAATATGAACATTATGATTTTTGATGTTCACAACAATAATTCCTGCTTATGAATTCCATTAAATAATTTTTATGTCTGTTAAAATGGGTTACAATAAAAGTGGTAGAGTACAAGGATATAGTTAAATAGTTTTGTCTAAAGGATGTAGTCAATCTCTAGTTTTTTCATCTATGTGTAATATTAAATTAAGTAATAATATTTATTTTAATCTTATGGCAAATTTTGAATTATTGTGCTGGTTACATATTTCAAATCTGATTCTGTGAGAAATTTGTGATATTTAGTTAGAAATATTATATAAAAATGTGTTTTATGGAATATCTGTAAATTGTTTGTCTTAATAAATCATAATTAGAATAAATAACATTTGCTTTCTTTTCAGGTTGCTCAAATGTTGTCCGAGTATGATTTAGCAGATTCTTCTGAAGAAACTTGGAATTCTCCATTTGCAACAAATTTTCCACAACCACACAAAAGGCACTTTATCATGAGAACTCACGCAAAGAGACCTTCAACTTATTCTATCGCTTGTCCTCAAAGATTGTCAGCAATTTTGCAGAAAGATAGTTTTAGACTGGCAGGTTGCTTTACACAAGACATAACATTCCAATAAACGATTTGATCATTTGTAAAGTTATGTGTGTTTACATTCTTTAAATTCTTATAACAGTGTATAGAATATTTTCCTCATTATTTTATAAAAGTTTTCAATGATTTAATTTTTGCAGGTGGTTTGTAAGATATAAATTATGTAAAATGTGTACCCAATTTCCGAAATAATTTTCTTCTAACAGGGTTCTACTTTTTGTGAAAAATGTAAAAATTGATGCTACATGTTTGATGCAATCTTGTGTGTTGCTGTTAAAATATTTTCTGTATTAAAATAAAATTTGTTTGTAATAATTAATAATTATGATTTATTATTGAATCTAAACCTTACAGAATTGGAAATCATATTTTTAATGAAAATTTCACTGATTCAGTTATGACTGTAAATTATTCAAGAAAATCTAGAACATTAATGATTGAAATCTGAAAGATCAAAAATTGGAAGATAGTAAATGTGTTTTACAAATTCACTAACTACGAGAAAAACAGAAATTGAAACTTCCATGGAGGAAACGTCCTAGTATTATTAGGGTCATTACAGATGTATGAATGTAAACCTGATGTTAATGTATAAATTACTAATTGTATAACATTGAGTTTGAAGACAGTATACTATTATTGATTATCTTCCCTACACTTTTAACTCTTATTATGCTCATTATTGGTTCATAGTTCAAGCAGAGACAAAAAATTAGAATGAATGAGGTGAAATGTGTGAAATGATGAAGCAGATGGCAGAATGAGAGTCAAGGCAAATTCAGTTAAAAGTATGGTTTGAATCCTGTGAACTGTGCAGCCCTTGAGATTTGAACACCAAAATACTCAGTAGTAAGTATAAGAAGTGTGTGTGGTATGACTGTTGTTTCAAAAGTGAACACAAAAATACCTTTTTTAAAGAAAATTCAATTTAGAGCAGTTCAACAATCATGCAACATTTCAAAATCATTGTTCACAACCTTTGAAATGTTAATGAACTGGAACATTTGGTTTCGAAAATAAGTTTCATGTTGATATACTTTATGCAGAATAAGTAGCATCAACCTAACAGGTGCATGCAGAAAAGGTGTATTAAATTAAGAGCAATGTGAAAACTGGTTGCGTTACAGCAGCACATACTTTCTTGTATTATTTGTAAAATTTGCAATTTTCTAAAATGCAGACTGTTCAACAAAAATTGGTCCTGCATAATTTTTGTAGGTGTAAATGTCAAAATAAAAAATAGATTAGAGCAGTTTTTTGATAAAATCTTGTTTATAAAATTACCTTTATTTCATGTAAAATTATGCAAAAAATATTCATATTTCAAAAAAAATTACACCAGACATCATTTAAATAAATAATTTTGAAGAACATTTATCTCCTTAAGAAAAAAGTATTAATTGTTAATATTGTAATTTTAGGATGACACCAACAAAAATTTTAACTGTTGCAATTTTCGAAATTTTGAAGTTATAAAAATCAGACCTGCGTTTTTTTACAAAACTTTAAACTTTTGCAATTTTTGAAAACTTAGAATTTAACAAAAGTTGGACTTGAGTAACTTTTCTCTATCTGAAAATACAAGCAACTTAAAGATCAAATTTGGAGCCATTTCTGAGAAAATTTTGAACATGTTCCTGAGGTCTTGCAAAAAAGCCTCAAAAATCAAAACATCTGTTTGAAATTCAAGGTGCCACAAAACGGTCAGATCAATCAAAGAATATCAGCTTGTTTTGTCCTCCCCTTTTTTAGGGGGGGAGGGGGAGCAGACGGTCCAAGAAATGAAAGAAAATAACTGGCTGCTAGACCGTTCATTACCTATGAATACAAAGATATTTAACTCACTGACATCAGTATTTGGTGCAATAGGATATATTTCCCAATACTTTTGAGGCGAAACCTGAGCTCAAGCGTCTATTTAATTTATATTTATGTTATATATATTTTACTATCTCTAATACATCTCACTGTGGTTTTCACCCAGTTTCCCTTGACCCAAAGAAGCTTGTAGACATTAAATGTTGCTCTCATCTCTTGTAAATGATATATTTTTTTCGTTACTGCTCTTTAAAATGCAAATAAAAAATATGACTTCTCACTTGTCAGGTTTATAAATTTCTTTAGTTATTTTGTTGCTTTTGGAATACATGTTGTTTTTTTTATTCCTCGCGGCTGAAATGGCCAGAATGGTTAAAGACCCGCTAGTAGATTACAGCTTCTGATTCAGCCGTAAACAACTGAAAATTGTGTGAAGCCCAGCAGTGGCATAAACGTGCGAACGTAACAGTTCCCACGACCCCGTCCCCGGCAGTGAAGGAGTTGCTCGACGGGGGGGGGGGGGGGGCGCTGCCCCACGGGGACAGACGTCGACAATTGGACCGCGACGCTAACCGAGACCAGCGGTCTCCTGTTGCGTCCCTCCCCGCCCCACCTCACCCCGCCTGATCTGTGGGGTAAATCAGGGATGATTATGGAGGCCATGCCTACTCCTCGCAAGAACGTTTATTTTGAAATTTTACTAGGTTCAAAACAACATTTCCAAAAGAGCAGTACTCCGTACACAAAATATGAACCTTTATTTTTTCAGATAACAAAAATTGTATATCCTTTAAAAATTATTTGTAGGAAGGCGTACTAAAATTGCCCCCCCCCACACACACACACACACACACACCGGGGCGGGTCCAAGAGGTGTGAATTCAAGTATCGTTTACAGGGCTCTTGGGCGAGTCCACGGAGTGCTTGAACCCTGCGTTTACGTTCCGTCAGACTGGCAAAAAAGGAGGCACGTCCCCCCTCACCCCCACGGTGTTTTGTAATTTTACGCAATTTTCCCAAAATTATTACCTCAAAAAGATATTATCAAATCCAAAATAGTTTTCTCATTATGAATATACTCGTACATTTTTAGTTTAAGTTAACATATTTTTAACAATCAAAAATGTTTGCGGGGTTCTGAAGGTCACGAGCTGGAAGGGGGACACTATCGGGAGCTTTGTTACTACTTAAATTTTTGGTATTGAACACTGAACACGAACCATGTCTTATGGAAATTAAAAACCTTCCGGAATGCTCGAATGATTTTTTGCATATCTTCAAAGTTTACTATGTCTTGTGCTGTAGATATTCACATGCGATACACAGTGGCTGATCCAGGGCCTATAGTTTTCGTTTGTTACCTTCCTCTATTTGACAAGATTGATTTAAATATTTATTGGTTAGAATTATATTAATTAAAAAAACAATATTGTATAGTATAATATATAATTACATTACAAAAATAATATAAAATATAAAAACATGTGTTTATTATTTAAATCTATCATGCCTCCACCCCAAAATGATCGTCTGAATCCGCCTCTGGATACATGGTAGTCTACAGTTTTTATTCTTTACATCATGACAAACTAATAGCGTGTTGGAGCTATAATGTCCATTCATTAAAATATCGAGTTTATTTCTATATGCGCAGTTCGAACTGATGCTTTCGCCAGTCATTTTGTGGAGCCGCAGGCCACATTGCGAAGTTTTTGCAGTACACACCTGGGTGCTCGGTCAACCAATCCTAGGCGTTGTCCATGAGTAACCATGAGAAAATGGCATCACCATATGCCCCATTTTACGATTTATTTAACAACTAAATAGTGTAATAACATGATTTTGATGTAGGTGACAGAGGTTGGTGTAAAAATCAATGTTGCTTGCACTTCCGCGAAGGTTATAATTTATTTATCATCAACTTTTACTCATCCTTCAACTATTTATAGTTAAAATGAATGGAAAGGAATCTGGAACTCAAGAAAACGTGCGCAGATGATCTTCTCCCCCATGCGTTACATACAGTTTTTTCAGGTTTTTGGCTAAATAAATAAATAAATTCATAGACGCAAAATGGGGACGTTGTTGATTATCATTTATGAGTTTATGATGACTCAAGCGCCCCTGAACAGAATCTCTGCGCAACCCGCCGCACCTTCAAGTATCAAGCGCGTCTTCGTTGCATATGCTACCCTTGCGGCTGTGAAATATCGGGAGGAATTATTACTTGATCTCGGACAAGTAAATCAAATTTCTCTATGACAGTGTCATAGTGAGTGGATGCCAAAAATTGAGGGAGAACGTTTTATCAATAGAATAATTGACAATCATGTCCAAACTAGGACATAGAACAAACCCATACTTGCGAGAAAGTCTTTCATCTATTAAATTGTTTGCCGAGCGTAGCGTAAAACGTGATTAACAATCACGCCTCCTGTAGCGTGAGAAGTTTAAAACGTTACAACAGCGATGCATTGCTGGGTCCACTAGTAATATATACAAATCACTGATAATGTAAATATTTACGGTGTGAAAAATGATTAAAAAACTTTTGTGAAATTTTTGAAAAAAGATACCTCAAAGTGGCTTTTATGCAATGTTATTTAGTTCATTTAGCAGTATCCGTTCAAAAAATTTAAAGAAAAAATTGGAGACATTTGCGAGAAAATATGACTTGAACATTTCTTAAAAAAGCGAAATTTCGATTTCATTTTCATAGAAAACTTTTGAGTTTTCGAAAAATCATGTAAGACATTTAAAGCACATGAATCACTCATAAAAGCAATAATGTATTCAAATCGCTTGTAATGTAAATATTAACGACGTGAGCGAGAGGTAAAAAACATTTATTTGTATAATTATTTAAAACAAAAAGGCAAAAAGGTGTTTATGTCATCCTATAAGAACAGTTAGCGCAATTCCTTCTGAAAGGTAAAAGAAAACAATTAGAGCTATTTTTGAGTAATTCTTGTTGATATTTTTAATCTTACACATTTTTCACTCTGAGTCGGGCAAAAACTACTAAAATTTTCAAAAAAAATCGTGCGTGACATTAATGAAAAAACTAATTGTGGAGAACAAATTTAATTTGAAGAAAACATATCTATCTTAAATATTGTTGGTATAGGAAGACACCGAAAAACTTTCTAAATTTTGCGATTAGGAAAATTCAGTTTACAGTGAAAATCGGACAAATGCCATACTTACAAGTGCATTTTACTCTAATTTAACAAGAAGTTGAAAGAAAAAAATTGAGGCCATTTTTGACAAACTTTTGAAGATGTCCCAGGAGCTTCATGTAAAGTATCCCCAAAATTTAAAGAATATTTTTCAAACTCGCAGAGTTTAGTTTCGAGCCAAATCCACCGGGGAATATTCATTTTGGAAAAAATACTATTTAGTTTACGCGCTAGTGTTGTTCACGAACGAACGGACGAACTTAAAAAAAATCTGTATCGGAGAACACCAAAACGTGTATTTCCGTTGAAATCTCGAAATCGATTTTCTGCAGCATTTCATATCTGCCTATACCACATATATTACTCCGTATGTACGTACGTAAACGAAAAAGTAATTAGTGTGGATATAGAATGGTACAAACTTTCTCGTAGTAGTTATTTTTTTCATTTC